TGTGTTAAATACTCATGGAAACAACAACCTTCATTTAACCCTTAGTAAACCTGATACTTGCTTACCTTTAATTCCTTCTGACATCCACCTCGGTTGATCTTATGATTAACTCATCCACCTACGGCTTTTTGATACTCATGCTTTTTATCCGCCTCTCTGACTTTCGTAGCCTTTACGCTACTCGCTAATCTTGAATGATCCTCCATGGTCCACATGATCCTGCCCATAATTCCCCATTTTCGTGATCAGTTGATCCTTACAATCACCCCGCTACAACCGGTTGACCCTCGTGACTCATTTCTCAAGGTCGCGGTGGGCCAAAACCGGTTTTGTTATACTACTTTTTGTTATGTGGGACCGCTCCGGTGCAGAAATTCTGAAAGAAAAATTTGGACGCTTCTTTCAAGTAATGGAACACCATGAACAATCTAGTTGGATGAAGAATGTTCTACATATAACGTATATTTTCATAAAATGTATAAATATCCATGCGTATATTTACTGCTCTCCCAAGATGGTGTCCCTATGTTATTTGGAGGTTTTATTTATAAAGGTGATGAAATTGAAATTGTTCCCTCTTACACCTATCTGGGTGTCCCCATGACTAGTTCCTCTTTAGGTCTAACTGCTGCAATGGAGGCTATTGAGAAGGCTAAAAGTGCTTCTGGGGCTATACGCTCTATTCTAGCTAGGTCATCGGCTGACTGCTGGCTCACTGTTCTGAAACTTTACGTTAGTATGTTGACCTCAACTCTATTGTACGCGGTTCCTGTATGGGGCGTAAATCATTATGACTTGATTGAGGCTGCCCAAGTACGCTTCTTCAAAAAAGTTCTGTTGATCCCATTAAACACCCCAAACTATCTTGTGAGACTGGAAGCAGGTGTAGTAAAATTGAAATTGCAGGTAGTTAAACTCACAATTGGCTGGATTGGAAGGGTTCTTGGAATGGATGATGGCAGATTGCCCAAAGTGTGTCTCCTGAGGCTTTTTGATCTGATCTCACGTGGAAATTATGAGAAAAAATACAACTGGTTGAATCAGTTTTTTGCAGCTTGCAGCTTGAAGTGCTCTCCATCCTCTGAAGCTTGGGAGATGATAGAGCCTGTCCTTATTGAATCTCTAGAGAAAAATCTTATAAATCAGGACCTTTTGGCAGCAGAGCAGTCGAATTTTTTGCAAATCAGATTGCCCCCTAGAACCCTTCTATCTCCAGCCAAATGGCTCCTAGATCGATCCCCGCCCTCTTATAAAAGAGTTAAAGCTCAAGTTAGGCTAGCTAACAAATTCTCCCGTTCAATACTTGTCAATGGTACATTCCATAAACTCGATCCAAATCTACCCTGACCATTGTGTAATTCAAATGATCCCGAAACCATCAATCATGTGATCTTGAGATATTCTATGTACAATAAACCTAGAGGACAATTTCTCTGAAGCTTTTTCGTGACTGGCTGGACAATTGAAAATCTAGTTCTATTTGTTGACTGTGAATCTTCGGAAAGCACTAGAGCCTTATATATTTTCATGTGTGAAGCAATGGCTAGAAGGGAGGAAATTCTAAATCTATATTAAACCATGTTTTTTGGTGCCACTGTGTCATGTTTGTTGCATTATTATTCATGTACTTTTTACTGTAAATGGCTGCGCGAGGGAAGAACTGACAGTATTTATTGATTGTGAATCTCCGGAGAATTATTAGGGCTCTGTATATATATAAATAGTTATTGTAAAGCTAAGGCTCCTGCTATTAAATTGCCATTTTTATTTTTATTTATCTTTATGCACTAACTCTGCGGTTTGCTAATATCACTGAATTTTATAAATGTGAAATTGCAGTTTTTTATTTATTTTTTTATTTTTATTTTTACTAGATATGGAGCGAAATAATCTGAATTATTACTTTTATATGCATATTATGGTAAACACCTGTCCCCCCCTTGCTATGAAGGTAGTCTCAAAAGCAATAAACTAAATAAATAAATAAATAAATAAATAAATATTTACCGCTATGCCAGTACAGAACATCGATAGATTTTATACACTCGTCAAAAATCAACATCACAACAATATTGGGTATAATCACTCTTTCATAAAAATTCAATTGATCGCTCTTGCAGATACAGTCAGATGTAGACGCTAGCGGTCATTTATAATAAATTAGGATAAGTGAAGTGAAATATAAATTAAATGCATCGGTTGTCTTAAGGGTATTATCTTGGGATCCACAAAAGCAATGAATTAAACAAAAAGTTTTCAGCACATTATTCAATCAACTTACACCGGGAGAAAAATATCAGAAATTACATGTACAACATAACAATAGAAATGGTTTGACATTATTAGGTATACGCGCGAATGAATGGGATAACGATAAGTTCAGTACTTTTTATATATTATTTCTTGAGGGATAACGTAGGAACAACACTAAAATTAGTGATGTTTTATTAGTAGTTACCATAAGCCAGTTCTGGACCAAATGGTGGCGAGGGGGTGTGCGGGGGCAGGAGGCAGGAGGCAGCAGGCAGGAGGCAGCCGGCCGGCGGCAGGGGGAAGGGGGCCGCTGCGGCTGGAGTCGTGATGGTGGGGGAGTCGCTGTGGGTAAGGTTTTTGCTAGTGAGTGGGGTTGCTCGGTGGTGGGGGGTGGGTTCAAGGTGTGCGTGGATTGGCTCAGCCGTAACACGCGGGAAATTTTGAATGAAATAGATGCGCTCATCATCATTCCTATGGAATTATCCCGTACTGAGGAAAGGTATTTTTAAAAAAAATATAGAATGCATATAGATTGTTTTTGCTTCCGAATGGAAGCATTGTTTATACATATATTTTTTTCTTTTTTTTTTACATTTTCATAACCTTTAATATTTATATCAATCATGTTTTCCTGGAGTGGGTTTCTTTGTTGTAGGGCTTACTACCCTCCAAGGTTTTGGATTTCTCGAACTCTTCGCGAAATGTAGCGGTGCGTCTCTGCGGCTGCTATTCTTTTAACCAACTGCTCTCCCGAGATTCTGAGTTCTGAGGTCGTTTATCCATTTTTTCCCATATAATTTCCTTAACGGTTGATTAATAAGTTCATCAATAAGAACAAAACCATAAATTGATTGAGGATAATTTCGGGTGATTCTTCCGTGTGGACCTCTGTGTTCTTGAAGAATTTGCAGAGGGGACAGTTTTTCTTCATTGGAGCATTGGAGGAATGATGGAGATGACATCTTCGACAATTCACGATATCTTCATCCTTTTGCATATTTTCCGGTAATTTATCCCAAACATTCTCAATACTATGTGCAGCGCACATGAGCAAAAAACTTTTTGGGAGAATCGCTATGTCTTGAGTGCTCATTCCATCAAGACTTTTCGAGTTACAGAACATTTCCAAAGATCGTTGCAAACGGTTGCCATGTTTCACAACATACCAGGTTCTCAAATTTTTCACATTTTCCAATGCACAAACGAATGGGTCCTCGTCATCGTCATCATTATGAGGATGCAAACATTTCGACAACTCAAGGTCCGATAATTTCGGACAATCTAAATCTTCTAAATCGATCACTGATTGTGAACTTCCAAGAATCCCTTCCAGCCACTGTTTCTTCTGTAATCCTTTCACATAGAGGTTAGCTGCGTCTTTGAGAACTTCTTCAGCAATCTGTGGAAGCTCAGAATATGGTGTGTCTCCGGTTTCCCAGCGCAAGCCATGGAAACTGTTGATTAGCCATGTGTTGGAACGTTTAGCTTTAGCTGACAAGTCATCCCATGAATATGGTGGTTTGAAGAGCACACATTCAACTCGCTCAAGGTCATCAATATATGCAACTGCCAGTTCTTTAACGATAAATTTATTATCATCACTCTGAAATCCTTGAACGTCCACAATCGCGTCCATCTTTACACTGTAACGTTCTGAGTACGACTGATCACTACGCTGAAAGTACTGCGTATTTTTTTCAAGAATTAGATTGCATCATTATGCGTCATATTTCTCAGAAGTGTTTACATTTTTAGAAGAAGTGCGCATATTTTTTTTGCGCAGTTTCAGGGACAGTGGTTCGGAGTGGGAGAAAATTGCGACATATTTCTGAGAAATGTTTACACTTTTAGAAGAAGTGCGCATATTTTTTCGCGCAGTTTTCAAGGACAGTGGTTCGGAGTGGGGGAAGATTGCGTCATAAGAGGTAATACTTCCCTCATTCCTTTTGGCATCAGTTTGCATCATGGATCACTTGAGTCCAAACGAAGTGAAATTGTTATGCGCACTTCCACCATTTTTGGTGGATTATAATGATATTGTCATTAGACATTATGGTGAAAATCCAACACAAACGGCGCAAGACTGTTTTCGTGATTTCCTGGATTTGAAAGAGAATTTGGCACTCATCAAGAGTTTACGAATTGGACCAAATAAAAAAGATCTCCAGTTGACAACTGACGAAATTCATTTGTTAAAGTCGATTTCGCCATATGTCTGTGAGTACGACGATATTGTTATCAATCACTACGGTAACAATCCCCCGCAAACATCATGGGATTTTCTCCAAGATTTCCTAGATTTGGAAGGAAATTACAAAATTGTGAAATTACATCGAGACTCAAACATGGATGGGAGCGAGGAACAAACAGACTTGGTTGATAAAACCTCAGAGACTCCTCTCATTTTGCGCAACAACAACAACAACCACAAGATCAAGGACAAGAACAACAAAACCAAAATCTGGTAGAAGAGGCACTGGCCAGCTCTTCCAAAATCAATACAAATACACCGGTGAAACGAACCAAAGATACTGCTGCTGCATCTGCGAAACGTCATCATCATCATCATCACTGTGAAGCGAAGGATAGACAACGTCCTCATCCCTATGGGTCCAGAAAATTCAAGAAAAATAAGGAATATTTTTTGAAATAAAATGAAAACATATTCACATTGTTATATGGAAAAAAAACTTTTTANTAAAAATATATGTATACAATCGATATAAACAATGTTTTTTTTTTCTTCTTTACATCATATTTTTAACTCCTCCACTAATCGGGTGATACTCCACTATACGATCATGTAAGATTAAGCAATAGGCTGCAGTTTGAGGGGGGAAATGACGATCAGCCTCGAATTCAAGACGAATATCTACTGGTCCGGACTTCAAGTACTCATTTTGCTTTGAACAATCAATGACAATGAGTGGAGCATAGCTGAGGAATTCTGTCTTGCTCAAGAGTGGTTCAGCTTCTTTACCATAGTAAGAGTTTTGGAAATTCGTATACATATTGTAGAGTAACGCATATTGATTATGGCTGATATCAAGATTCAGATTACCATAACGGTAACTTCNAATGAGTGGAGCATAGCTGAGGAATTCTGTCTTGCTCAAGAGTGGTTCAGCTTCTTTACCATAGTAAGAGTTTTGGAAATTCGTATACATATTGTAGAGTAACGCATATTGATTATGGCTGATATCAAGATTCAGATTACCATAAGGGTAACTTTGAGAATTCAGAAAGAGCTTTATGTCGCGGATATTACAATGATCAAAACGACTCGCATTCTTATTGGTTCGATTTTTGCGGTCAGTTTGGAATCCCACAATGACGTAGCGAGGTTTCTCTAATTGAGTTGAACTTTTCACCACCCAGACATGTTTAGAGGTCGCCGGTAGGAAGGGATACTCATACGTCTCCCAGGCTCGAATACTGATGGGAATCGGGGCGTCCTTGGAAATGTAGTTCAGCAGATTGATTTTCTTGGAATCAGCTACTTTAATGTAGGGAATCATCCACTCCAATTTATCCAGTGAGAGTCTGAATGCTTCAGCAGCAGCTGCTCCTGCCGGTGCTTGGATGACTGCATTCACATCACTGTTCCCACGTGTTAGAATGAGTTCATGCTTCGCATTGACAATGATTCTTCCATAGTCCTCAGCAAAGCCCAATAACATACTCAAAGGTATGGAAATATCAAAATAGCCATCCTCATCAGTGACTGTTGATTCATCATCTTTAAGGATCCAACCTGCATTCTCCAGAAGAGCAGCTTGACTCGGAGTTTGTGAGACGAAATTCTTCATCAGTGTTGTGATACCAACATTCTTGTTTCTGTCAATGACAATGGCGTTTAATTCGTAGCGAATTTCTTCGAATAAGTGGAGAACCGCGCAATTCACTAATCTTGTGTGCGTCACAGCTCCTCCATCTGCTTTGGTCAAGCGTCCATGTATATGCAATGAACTTTTGCTTGGCAGCAGGCACAAGTCTTGATGTTGGACGGCGATGCGAATTTCATCATTATTATTGAAAGTCGCCGATGCAAAAGGCTGATGTGCATGAATCTCGTAATGAGCGATTGATTCGTCGAAGACGATGGGCTTTTGAATTTTCAGGATCTCTTCCATGGCTTACGGTGGTAGATGACAATGCAACAGCAGAGGAAACTATGAATTTTTCTTCTCCCTAATTTGTTTTTCCTTTCTTCAGGACTTTGAGTCCTAGACTTCTTAGGAATTTTCGATTCTGTGGTGTTAACGCTTTGAGCGCTCGTCGATGACTGCTTGGAAGTGGCAATGGTGATTCACTTTTATAACGACCTCCGGATTTGATGTTGAAAACAATGCCCATATTAGGCTTTAATGTGTAATCTAATTGTTATAACCTCTCCTCTGAAATTCACCAATTGACCTTCTTGATCAACAATTCTCACTTGGAGATGGTCTATTGCTTGTACGGCGATTGGAAGGTAAATGATGTTCGATGGCACTTCAATGATCTTATATCCTGGCGGAACTGTTGGGAAGAATTCATGTACAGTGTGTACTCGCTGTTCATTGATGTATGCTCCAGTGGTGATGTTGCACTCAACTCGTAGTGAATTGACCTTGAGAATCATTACTGGCGAATCAGATTCATGACTGACATGGGGCGAGAGCATACCTTGCGTGAAACCCAATAATCGTCCAATCGAATCTTCTGGTTCAAAATTTATCGGATGACTGCATTTGATTATACTCTTCAGAGTGTTATTGTTGGGCTTAAGGCTGATATTTATGTTGTGTTTGGCCAGTTTCTCAACCAAGAAATACTCAATATCTTCGATTTCATAGCTTCCCGTTGGTATTTCAATAATTTCATCCGCCACGTAAAACTTGTTATTCCCGGTGTCAATATTGGGAATGGAATTGAAGGTTAATAGTTCAGCCAATCCTAGAGTGTGATTTTTCAATGGTGATAATTCAATTGGAGGAAAGTAATGAGCCTCCAACACCGAAGAGGTGCCTGATAATGTCAATGTAAAAGAGTCACTCATCACAGTTGATATCTAACTGATGCTCGTGGTGTAGCGGATTGAGGTTTTATATTATTTCTCCATTGAGAAATTTCAAGCAGAGATGTCCACACACCACCGTATCATAATCTTGATACCGATCATGGTTATATTTGATAATGCTACCAACACCGAAATAATCCATCAGGTCTTGAGGTGGATGAAGATTACCAAAACTATCGAAATAGATAATTTCATGCTTCCGTTTCTTGTATGCAACCCAATGCGTTCCAGGCCCGTCTTTATCATCAAGATTGACAATGCTTGATTCGTATTTCCATGGACCTGACTTGGGCATTTCGTTCCTCATATATACACCACGAAAATGTGGGATTCCCATAAGCTTGACATATTTCATCAAGTCGGTATCGGTGAGAGCTCGGTGTGGTAGCTTTATGCGTTTTTTAAATGGAGACCTAAGCCCTTCTTGTAGGGTTTCAAGTATAATCCTTTGCCCAATGCAACAGCCTCCATTGTCTGATTGTGTCTCATACTCTCCTGAAGAGCTTTCTTAGCTGTATTCGCGTCATTGATGGCTTTTGCAACACCTGCTGCACCACCAGCCAGAGCTCCGGTGGCACTCAAACCTGCAAACAGCGGTATCAAGAAGGGTATTAAACCTCCGATTTTCGCAGGTACAGGTAGAACGCGAGGTGATCGCACTTGCTTTTTACCACCGATCTTTTTCACTGCAGCGCGTGCACCTTCGAGTGCTGTTTTAATAGCATCGGTTCCCGGACGCATAGATGTTTTGGCAGCTTGTAAAATTTGCCGTAGGGCTACTTTCTTTTTTCTTCCACATCCACCACCACCACTACGTTTCCTCCTCTTCTTCTTTTTGATTCCTTTGCTCGGTTTTATCCCCATGCCTAGGGAGGTTTTCGCTTTCATGGTGTTGGCTATACCCCAAGCGGCAGCTTTTTCCCCAAGACCTGCGTCTTTCGACAAGACTCGTTTCCAGGCTTTCTCCGTGAGGACTTTATCTGCTTCGTGTCGCGCAGTGAGGTTATCTCGATTTTTAGAATAGGCTATATCGTGTTCTTTGCAGGCAGCGTCAAGTGGATTAATGCCAGGGTCACCCCGTTTCAATCGCTCCTGTAGCTTTGTCCCAGGACCACAATACTGATATCCGGGGATATGCAATTCCACAGGGAGTTTGTTGATGATACTGTTCACTAATCCTTTACCTTGACGTCCTCTCTTACGTTTGCACACCTTCATGGTCATAGAAGGACTGACTAGTGATGAGATGAACCGCGTGTATTTATATGTTCCCTGAGAGATCCCATAAAAATGATGGGCATCCGTCATTCATGTTCAGTCATCAACTATGCGTTTCAAAGAGCAGAAGACTAAGCTACCGATAATAAATTTTGATGGGTTCTTACAAAGGCAGAAAACTCGGGAGAAACGTCATGGTCCTCTGTTACCAGATAGTGTGCGTGCAGTCATCTGTGGACCGTCGAATTGTGGAAAAACAAACGCTCTACTAGCGCTCATAATGCACCCTAACGGTTTGAGGTTTGAGAATATCTATGTGTACTCAAAATCTCTCAATCAGGCTAAATACCAATTACTCAAACGTCTGCTCTTCCCTATCAAGGGAGTAGGATATTTTCCCTTTAGTGAGCATGATGAAGTCATCAAACCTGAAGATGCTCGACCAAATTCCATCATGATTTTCGATGATATTGCCTGCGAGAAACAGGATAATGTCCGAGCATTCTTCTGCATGGGACGACATAGAAATGTTGACAGTTTCTATCTCTGTCAGACGTACGCTCACGTACCTAAACATCTGGTGCGGGACAACACCAATCTCCTGATCCTCTTCCGCCAAGACGATATGAATTTGAGACACATCTATGAGGATCATGTGAATACCGATATGTCATTTGCCGAGTTCAAGGACTTATGTGCCAAGTGTTGGAATGAGGGCAAATACAGTTTCGTGGTAATTGATAAAGACAGTGAAATTGATGAGGGTCGATATCGAAAAGGATTCGACAGTTTCTTGAAGAGATAAATATGCACTATTTGGAGAATTTGAGAGCAGTTGTAGCGTGACTGTACAAGTGTCAACATGCAGAGCGACAATTTGAAAAAGGAGACGGATATCTTGCGGAATATTACTCAAGCGAGTAATGCTATTCGCCGCAAACACAAAATGATAAAATTGGGTAGGGAGACCACTGAAAGAGCTATGAGTGAAGTGTTTAAACCAGTGATAACTCCTCTCGAGAAACTGGTGGATCAATCGGTAATGAAGGAACCTTTACATAAGATAAAGAAAGAGAAGACATTTAGTGCTCCTATACGGATGAAGAAGGATGAGGATGATGATGATGATTCTGAATATAAAACTCTGGTAGATTTCCCATTCAGCATGGAAGAAGCACATTCGAGTACCCCCATGAGGAAGATATCACCAATAAAAGCCATGACTCCAACTGATCGTATTTTATCAATTAAGCTGGAATCTCCTACAGCCTCGCAGAAACATCTCGAGATGTATTTGAATCGTTATAATACAGAGCGCGAAGATAGCGATCTGGATAAGGAATTTGGTGTTCGTCGGCTGCAAGAGGGTATGAAGATTGGCGACTCTTTGGTCACGTTCCATGGCGATTCAATGACACTCAAGGGTGAAAAATACACATTAACACCCGGTTTAATCGAATTGATCTTTCAGAAATCACCTAACATGAGTCTCATAACTGAAACTGATAAGCATACCTACGGTAATATCATACAAAGTACGAATGCGTACCGAAAGTACTATAAACCAAATGGAGCTCTTCGAACAAGTACTATGATGAAATATCATAGCATCATTGAAGATATCATCAAATCCAAGAAAACTGGAATGGCCCTCCCTCATTATATGATCGCATCAGCGAAACCCAGGAAAATGGATTATGTGTACTGGGACAATCCTAATGAGCTGGTGGATAGACTCCGACTGCTCATGGCGTCACAGTCAGCTGGAAATATGAGTCACACCAATGAAATTATGTCAATAATTGAGGAATTGCGTGAAGCTAATATTATTTATTAAGCTGTAGCCAAGAAAATTCCATCATTTAAAACATGAGTGTCGACGTGTTTGGACGCCAGTTGGGTACTGGTGCTGTGAGAACCATTGGCAGCCGAGGTCCTCCAGGTGATGGATTCAAGGTCACGCTTGATGGACAATACGATATGGATCATCGGAGATTATGTAATTTGGCGGATCCTAAAGAAGAGAATGATGCTACATCTTTGAAGATATTGCGCAGTATGTTGAAGGAGGAGCTTCGTCTCATATATACTGTGACTGGAGCAATGGGTGGTAGACTTGATGGAATTCAAACGATGATTGATACATTCCAAGCAAATTTCATAGAGACCATGAAACGAAGAGATGTTAGTGAGGAGGAAGTACAAGAACGTTTGACCAATCATTCTGAGATCATTCAACGTGTAAACGAGGAACTGACAACACTGAAAGAATCGGTTATACATGAAACCAGAGTGATGGTCAATGGTTTATATTCACTGATAAGTGAGCAATTGGACGGAATAAGGAAAGAAGAAGCGACTAACCAAAATTTGGCACTACGCAATTCTGAAATAATTAGTCATTTGGATAGACGTCTAATTGTATTGGAGAATGGACAACGCGAAGGCAACAGTAGTGGAGGAGCTCCATAGACCAGCGCGCCGGAATTATCCCCGTCGACGTGTTGAAGTCCGTGGATTGGATGAAACATGGCAGGCAGATCTTGTGGATATGAGTGCCTACGCTCGTGAGAATGGAAGCCACAAATATCTCCTGACTATTATTGATATTTTCTCGAAGTATGCTTGGGCTGTGCCAATTAAGACGAAGAATGGAAAGGATGTGACCAGTGCTATGGAATCTATCCTGAAACAAGGCCGTATACCTCAGAAATTGCATGTAGATCGAGGCAAAGAATTCTACAACAGCGATTTCAGGAAGCTCATGAAGGATTATGGGATTACTATGTACTCAACCTTCAGCAACCTCAAAGCATCAATCTGTGAGCGATTTAATCGTACGCTAAAGGAGAAGATGTGGAAACAGTTCAGCTTACAAGGAACATATAAGTGGATTCCTATTATCAAGAATCTAGTTGGGTTCTATAATGATACTAAACATCGCACAATTCGAATGAAACCGAAAGATGTCACTGCGGCTCATGAGAAGTACCTCTTACGTCATGTCTATGGAAAACTCAAAGCACCTCGCACAAAGAGAATCAAATTCAAGGTTGGAGATAAGGTGCGCGTCAGCAAGTACAAGAATGTTTTCGAGAAAGGTTATACACCCAACTGGACAACTGAGATATTTACGATTAGTGAAGTGGTAAATACTAATCCTGTGACCTACAAACTCATCGACTATGAGGATGAACCAATTGAGGGTGGATTCTACCAGGAGGAGTTGACGAAAGTCACACACCCTGACGTCTACCTCGTGGATAAGATACTTCGAAGACGTGGGAACGAAGTCTTTGTCAAGTGGCTTGGTTTCGATGATTCCCATAATACTTGGATAAATAAGAATGAATTATAATTAAATCAGTGGCAAATAAAAAACATAATTTACAGAGATTTATACATTTTTTTTATTATGGAATGTTTATGATTATTTTATTTACAATAACCATATGGTATAGTATCGTAAGAGTCTGGTAACAATATTCTCTTGTCATCTTCCCAACTTAAAGCTAACTTCCTTTGCTCAACAGTCCTAACTTCATGTTTATCGCTCTTGATCAAATATTGTGACTTAACAATATTATTATGATTATCTAGACAGTCTTTATAATCATCAAACGTAATCCTCTTCAATACTGATCCTTTCACTCCTTTAGCACGCTTCTTTGCTCTCTCATCACCGTGAATTTTGAATGTATACAGTTTTGCTCTCAATCCTACGAACTCACTCATGACTTTGCCATTGCATTCATCCTTCATAAGTCCCAGTACTTTCTTATTCACAAGTGGCATCCCGAATGCATTATCTTCTGAATAATCTGATGTGTCGAATTTGGAAATATTTTCCTTCATATATTCATAAATATCACGTCCTTGAAATTCATACAGAAGACTGTCTGTGTCGGTGTACATAAGTTTAGCCTCATTACCGAATTCTTTCTTAATGCACTCATAATGAAAATCATAGATGAATATTTTGGATAGATCCAGGATTGAGAAACCAACGTAAATGGGTTTATTGAAATACATTTTTGTGCGATCCAATTGAATAATCACTAAATTATCGTTAAAAATGGTAGAACTGTGAAAGTTGGGTTGAGCAATGAGAACTTTGGCTCCCCATCTCCCCTCCCATTTAGTGACTAGCTTGACATCTTTTTGTTTCCTTACATTCTCAATAGTTTTTCCGAAAACTGAGTTATTCATTAATTTGAAGAAATTCTTCTCAAACTCATTCCTGGATTTTTTTCGCAAATCAGTATTTATGTCGATGTACGGTTTCAGCCATGGTGCTTGATTGAATTCCAGTACTCGGTGGATTTTTGTCAATTTTAACCCTAAATTCAGACATTGTTTGAGATTCTGATGATGAATCACATAATTATTTTTGGGAAGCAATGTTGTGATTAATTTCTGCATTTTTTTATTCGGGGGAATGATATGTTCTGGACAAAGTGGTAAATCTTTGTGAGCCTCAAAGAGCTCCTTGAGATACTCCAAGTCGACCTCAAGGATATACCCTTTGTTGGAATTATCGGGAATTGTATACACATCGATAATTGATGGATCAATCCACTTGAATGATCCGTATGGTAAGTATTGCGACATGGCTGCACCATACAAGTTGTTCACATCAAAATACATTAGATAGGAGGTCTCTTCCATAGGGTTGAATTCCTCTTTCATATACCTATTGTTGGCATGAGCATAACGATTTGAGCATTGAGCTAGTCCACCTCGAATTCCTTTCTCAATGAACAAATGCATTTCAACATCTGTAAGAAGCTCAAGTTTAACACCAGTGCATTTCAACATAGCATCAAATGCTAATCCTGGTGCTGTAAAATAGTGTAGGGGGTCAAGTTCATATACGGAAGAACAAGTACTTCGGAAATTTTGGAAAATATCAGCTAGAAGGATGACATCTGTTGTCAGATAAAGATCGGAATATTCACCCAAAGATGTAATATTAAAAGTATCCCAAACTTTCTGAGCGTGAGCATAATCTTCAGCAGAGACACTCTCATCATTCAATTTGGAATAGAAATCGGTGATTGGAGGCAACTGAGTGTCATTGAGTTTTTCCCAAGAGTTAATATACTCATAAGGAAAAACTCCCTTCCTCGTTAAAAGTTTGAATTTCTCTTCATCATCGTTGCAGTAATTTCGAGTAATGGATTTATCCTGATCGCCGAGATATGATGCTAATTTTTCCAAACTACTCGCCATAAATCGGAAGGAATCGATGAAACGCAAATTAACAATTGTCTCATCAAAATATTTGGTAAAAGAGATATATTTTTCTTTATTAATAGGCAATAAATTTAAGCGGCCTGGGAATTTTGTGGCGAGAGTCTTGATCAGAAAATGTGAGTCATATCCAGTGAGGTTATGAAACACTACTGGAATGGTATGAGAATTTTGATAATTAATATTACATTGAGGGTGTGCTGGACCACGATATTTGCCTGTGAAGTGACAATGATCGTGATGTTTTCCATCAGTTTCGGTGAAAGATTTACCGCAGATGTGACAGACTTGAGCAATATCGAAGTCCCAAGCCTGTTCACGGGTGAGAGGCTTCATTGGTACATTCATTTTCAAACAAGTATCAACCTCATTAGCTATTCTATATAATTCATCTATGAACCATTCAATACAATCCGGTCCACGGTTCATCTTGAAACGTGAGCGAGAATCATCGAAAGCACACTGGAGATAGAATGCTGCACTATGAGGAATGTGCTCCTCATATGAAGATTCAGAATTATTTGGCTCCAAAATGCATTCTAAATCTGCATAGATGGCGAAGGGGACCATCTCTTTGAATTGATAATTTTTGAAAGTCAAAATATTTTTTCCTTCTTCTGGCAATACCATTCGATATTTATTGTTTGCAAAACAGTCTGGCTCATGGCGTTCAAATGATTTGAGTGTGGAAAAATGGTTCAGACAATGATCACAAAAAAACAAATGATGTTGATTCTTAGATAATTGTGATCCAACAAGTCGAGATAAATTTCTAATCCAAGTGAAATGATAAATTGGTTCAGTGTCACGTTCAATCTGAGCATCGTCACAGATCAATAACAGATGAATCTTGGACCAACTTGACTTGATTTTACTTAAGTGTAAAGGAACTATATCTTTATCATTATCAATTCCATATACGTTTACCGACAGACCATTCATTCGTTCGAATTTAGGAATATTCTTGAGTTTCATTGGAAATTCCAGTCCAGTATAGTGAAGTTTCGTGACGCCATCTGGTAGAGTAGCCAAAGAGTAATGAGGATATGAACTCAGCCTATCAACGTGCGTTGTAACCGGATGCAGCGCTGCTGTGATCGCCCATAGAAAACAAAATGCATCTCTGTTTTTAACATTGACTACGGCTTTTTTTCTTTGTATGCATTGAGGCGATGGAATGTACGTGTTCGAACCCGCTGCTAATGGTGAATATCTGTTAATATTCATTGTAAGATTGATAACCTCAATCAGTTCCCAGCCAGAATCCTTTTCTTGAAAATCTTCAATTTTTGCTAGAAGTGGTTCTGTGATATTATCTTTGAACCACTCCTCAATGTTGGTAGTGGGCAGAATGATTTCATTTTTGGTGTTGAAATATTTCGTTTCTTCAATAATTTCATCATACTTCATGACTTGGAACTTACAGGTGAGAATTCCATTAGCTTTGATATTGCCCTGTTCTCGTAGAGCATCCTTCAAATGAATGACAGCAAGAGCTTTTGCATCCTCAAGAAAGGACTGAGGATCTTTGTGAGTTAGGTTTATGATCACACCTGTCTTCATTCGACTCCTGAAGGCCGATTCCAGATCCTTCCAAATCACTCTAGCACTTTCATCTTCACTTGATGTCTCACCAAGTCGTCCACCCTGGTGTTGTTGTTGTTGTCCTTTTCTCTTGAACTTCTCACAATAGCTGTGAAGAAAGGACAGCATCGTTTGGATTCGCCGTTTATCTGACATCGATAGTTGAGAACTGTCCTTTTTCAAAAGCTTCCCAAACAGTTTGATGTAATTTTCACACATTCTTATCCACTTCTCAGAGTTTATGACAGGTTGATTCCTGTATGCTCCTTCGAGTAGATCCACAATTTCTAAACACTTCTTGGAATCCATAATGTTCGGATATATTTTCACACTAAATGTTTTTTCAGCAAGCTTTCTTACACTGGCAAGTTGCGCGTCAACTAACTCGAGTAGAGTCCATCACGCGTTTATATAGAGGTTCGAAATATAAAAAAAAACAACTCTCGGACTTGTTGCTGTCCCCTTGAGTGATTCACAGCACTGTTTGCGTCGCACAAGAATACTGCGTGAGCATGAAAAACAATTCTTAGAACTGTTTACTACCTCAAACAATTCTCAGAACTGTTGACGTCGCGCAAGAATGATGCTATGTGAGTATGAAAAAAAAAAACAATTCTTGGAACTGTTTACTACGCTGTCGCCTCGAACGATTCTTGGAAGTGTTGACTATGGTGTCGCCTTGAAAGATTCTCGGAACTGTTGACATCGCTTAAGAATACTATATGAGTATGGAAAAAACAATTCTTGGAACTGTCTGCGGTGCTACGTTTCGCAGATTCAGCAGCAGTATCTTTGGTTCGTTTCACCGGTGTATTTGTATTGATTTTGGAAGAGGTGGCCAGTGCCTCTTCTACCAGATTTTGGTTTTGTTGTTCTTGTCCTTGATCTTGTGGTTGTTGTTGTTGTTGCGCAAAATGAGGAGTCTCTGAGGTTTTATCAACCAAGTCTGTTTGTTCCTCGCTCCCATCCATGTTTGAGTCTCGATGTAATTTCACAATTTTGTAATTTCCTTCCAAATCTAGGAAATCTTGGAGAAAATCCCATGATGTTTGCGGGGGATTGTTACCGTAGTGATTGATAACAATATCGTCGTACTCACAGACATATGGCGAAATCGACTTTAACAAATGAATTTCGTCAGTTGTCAACTGGAGATCTTTTTTATTTGGTCCAATTCGTAAACTCTTGATGAGTGCCAAATTCTCTTTCAAATCCAGGAAATCACGAAAACAGTCTTGCGCCGTTTGTGTTGGATTTTCACCATAATGTCTAATAACAATATCATTATAATCCACCAAAAATGGTGGAAGTGCGCATAACAATTTCACTTCGTTTGGACTCAAGTGATCCATGATGCAAACTGATGCCAAAAGGAATGAGGGAAGTATTACCTCTTATGACGCAATCTTCCCCCACTCCGAACCACTGTCCTTGAAAACTGCGCGAAAAAATATGCGCACTTCTTCTAAAAGTGTAAACATTTCTCAGAAATATGTCGCAATTTTCTCCCACTCCGAACCACTGTCCCTGAAACTGCGCAAAAAAAATATGCGCACTTCTTCCAAAAATGTAAACACTTCTGAGAAATATGACGCATAATGATGCAATCTAATTCTTGAAGAAAATACGCAGTACTTTCAGCGTAGTGATCAGTCGTACTCAGAACGTTACAGTGTAAAGATGGACGCGATTGTGGACGTTCAAGGATTTCAGAGTGATGATAATAAATTTATCGTTAAAGAACTGGCAGTTGCATATATTGATGACCTTGAGCGAGTTGAATGTGTGCTCTTCAAACCACCATATTCATGGGATGACTTGTCAGCTAAAGCTAAACGTTCCAACACATGGCTAATCAACAGTTTCCATGGCTTGCGCTGGGAAACCGGAGACACACCATATTCTGAGCTTCCACAGATTGCTGAAGAAGTTCTCAAAGACGCAGCTAACCTCTATGTGAAAGGATTACAGAAGAAACAGTGGCTGGAAGGGATTCTTGGAAGTTCACAATCAGTGATCGATTTAGAAGATTTAGATTGTCCGAAATTATCGGACCTTGAGTTGTCGAAATGTTTGCATCCTCATAATGATGACGATGACGAGGACCCATTCGTTTGTGCATTGGAAAATGCGAAAAATGTGAGAACCTGGTATGTTGTGAAACATGGCAACCGTTTGCAACGATCTTTGGAAATGTTCTGTAACTCGAAAAGTCTTGATGGAATGAGCACTCAAGACATAGCGATTCTCCCAAAAAGTTTTTTGCTCATGTGCGCTGCACATAGTATTGAGAATGTTTGGGATAAATTACCGGAAAATATGCAAAAGGATGAAGATATCGTGAATTGTCGAAGATGTCATCTCCATCATTCCTCCAATGCTCCAATGAAGAAAAACTGTCCCCTCTGCAAATTCTTCAAGAACACAGAGGTCCACACGGAAGAATCACCCGAAATTATCCTCAATCAATTTATGGTTTTGTTCTTATTGATGAACTTATTAATCAACCGTTAAGGAAATTATATGGGAAAAAATGGATAAACGACCTCAGAACTCAGAATCTCGGGAGAGCAGTTGGTTAAAAGAATAGCAGCCGCAGAGACGCACCGCTACATTTCGCGAAGAGTTCGAGAAATCCAAAACCTTGGAGGGTAGTAAGCCCTACAACAAAGAAACCCACTCCAGGAAAACATGATTGATATAAATATTGAAGGTTATGAAAATGTAACAAAAAAAGAAAAAAATATATGTATAAAAAACAATCTATATGCATTCTATATTTTTTTAAAAAATACCTTCCCTCAGTACGGGATAATTCCATAGGAATGATGATGAGCGCATCTATTTCATTCAAAATTTCCCGCGTGTTACGGCTGAGCCAATCCACGCACACCTTGAACCCACCCCCCACCACCGAGCAACCCCACTCACTAGCAAAAAACCTTACCCACAGCGACTCCCCCACCATCACGACTCCAGCCGCAGCGGCCCCCTTCCCCCTGCCGCCGGCCGGCTGCCTCCTGCCTGCTGCCTCCTGCCTCCTGCCCCCGCACACCCCCTCGCCACCATTTGGTCCAGAACTGGCTTATGGTAACTACTTTTATTCAACCGCGTATATTGATAACAACATTCAAATCATTTCCATTGTTACGCTGTACATGCAGTTTTTCATATGTGGCTTTCAAATGGATTGAATAATTTGTCAAACAATGCTCATTCAATTCTGTCCTTTTTTAGATTCCCCTTGACCCCGCCATAGTACCTTTATTAAGACAATTGAATTCATGTCGGGTTATACTATCAGTTGTCCTCAAATTTTTTAAGTAAGATACGCAGCGTAGTGAAGAATGAGTATACTGCTGACATATACTGGAACAGAAATTAATGATTCCTCATATTGTCCACTTACTCATATTTTGTCATTCAAATAATAAAGTTTGCTATACCTTCGCATAATACTCCATGGATAAATTGGACATCAACCCAGCGATCTTTATTTTTGGCGGATTTAGACACCTCTGCATCATGAAAATCGCATCTTTGCTCCACGCCTTTGAATTTGGCATCAACAAAGAGTTGTATAGCGCAAAACCAATACGTGCGCTCTGAATAATCATCAAAAAATGAATGTCAAAGTTGAATGAGTAAATTAATTACTGCAGAATGATAACTTACTATAGTGGTCAAGTTCTCGGCGGCCCACGCAATACAAAGGAGCTCTAAGGCATATGCAATTAGAATCGAAATTGTTTGCACTTTACTAAAGAGTGTTTCATTCTATAGCAAAGAGAATCATTAAATCTGCAATGGTCATCATCCACATTATATTCTTACCCTGACTATATGAATTCCTCCACATGCAATGGATAGCGTAGTTAGTACGATTATGCAAGCTACCATGTGTCGCACGATTATCATGGTTTCCTTAATATACCTTACAGGAAGAACAGCATGAGAACATAAAATAAATTTCTGATTTATTTATTTTTTTATTTTTTGTTGAGGTTATCGACGCATCCATGGCTAGGCGTTATTAGCAACGGCTCTGGGGGCCTATTCTCGAAATATTTCCGTGCACGGAAGTGGCTTCGTAGACGAATTGCTTATAGGAATCATATAGGCGTTCCGTCAACGGAGTCGATTCCGCGCACGGAAATATTTCGAGAATAGGCCCCCTGGACCCATTTTAAACACAAAAATTACTATTTCCTTCGTAACTTAAAGGTGGTGATATTATGACTATTTCGAGTACATTATCAGTGTATCATCACATGAGATGGTAAGAGTTAACTATAGCCGGTAAAATATACCCGATTGATATGTCGACACCTGAATAACAGATAAGCGTATCTACATAGGGAATTCATAGCACTGACGCTTCTTTTTAGACATTTCTAATGATGTTTTCACATTATTCGATTAGATAAAATGATCTAGAAATCATTCATAGGTTCGAGCCCGGGATTTACTTTTCCGTATATGTAGATATCTTACCCATTTGGCTATACAGCGGATGATTTAAAATTATGTGGTAAAAAAGAGTCACAGCTATCGACATTGTCATGCAATTCCGACATTGTCGTGCCGAGTGCTCTTTTCATCTGAGCTATCAGGATCAGAAGTGGTTTTCTACACTTAAATTTGATTTATTCGATATCAGTAACAACCGTACTGAAAATGAGCCCGTGTATCTATTTCTTTTGAAAATGCGTTGGAATCAAGAATAAAATAATTACCACAATATGTGTTGATGTATGGAGATGCACTCTGCGAGTTCTTGCAAACAGGTGACGTCCTCAACTTTTTCAGCGAGAAATGTCAGTTGAATTGTTCCATACCAAATAAGCAGACATAATTGACAAATGAAAGCGCCTGTACAGGCGCATTGGCCACCTCCTAGTATTTCCATTATGAGAACCATATAATAAACAGGATGATCGTATACAGAGAATGGAAACTCAACTATATTTGGTAATGGGTGATCCAAAATAAAAAGACCAATCACATAAGCCAAAATTGTACCGACACCCAACATATTGTATCGAAAGTAAGAAGGAGTGACTCGCTTCACGTAATTCATTAGTACTTCTCGTTCATGAGGGTTTGCATTATTCACGAATGTCTTTACCTCTTCAATTAAACACTATTGAAGAAATTGAATATCGAATGAGAATTACTACTATGCCACCAAGGCAACGTCCTCATTGGACTAACTTTTCTCCTGACACCTGTACTCACCTGAAACCGATGATTATGAAATTTCGCAATGATCATCGCCGACACAACTTGGATAAAACACAATGCTGCATATAAACTTTCAGTGAATTTCATGAAATTAGTCCGGTATTTGTACGCCGTAGTGAGCATTGGAATGGCGTTCGTTACAGCGACAATCAAGGAAATCCACCAACAAATTTTCAGAGTAATCTTTATTTGTCGTGTTGTATTTAAACTCGGCGGCCATGTGAATAGAATCCCAGTTGTGAACTTAGTCCACTGAATTACAAACTCTGGTGTCCGCTCCTTCTCCATAATGATGCTATTTCTGAATTGGAATGATGGGCCTGATTACACTGATTATAAGTATCGCAGAAGTCTATTTCATGATTACGAATGATTGACCGCACAAGCAGGGGGTTAGGATGTCATATCGAACTATGCCTGAATGAATGGTGCTTTGTGAAGTTACATATTTCAATATGTAACTTCACAAAGCACCGAATTATGTAATTGCACGCGCAATATGGGAAAGATTGTTTTTCTCATTTTACTTGAGTTATGTATCGGTTTTATAATTTTCAATTCATAAGGAATGATCAAGAGGTATGTGTGTAATATGTTTGGTTACAGATGGGCCCCATACATCGGAGATTGAGAATCAGCCCATTGATTGCACCCACTGATTAGAAAGTATTTCCAGTCATTGAAATTACAGGCATTAGTGGATCGTGGGGCAAGATGCATCCCCAATTCAGGTACAGGCTGCAAATTGATGGAGGTCATAAGAATCAAATGAGATTTATATGAAAAGTTATATTGATCATAAGAATAGATGAATGATCCAAATGAAGAACCAACGTCATGGAATAAATATTGATTCATACCATGATCTTTAAATCTTTCGCAATTTCTACACCATTCATCATCCTTACGAAACTTATGACCCTCATCAGCCTCATGGGAAATTCCAAGAAAAGTTAGTCTAAGAAGATCATCATGTGATGTCAGTGATTACAATGACGTCATGGATTACTTACAGACTAAACGGATTTTACTATAACTTCCCTTCGACTGCGGTGGCGACTGGTATCCTGATTATGGATGTAAATATTCGCACGTCATGAAGTACAACTAAATAACAAACCTGGAATATTTTCATCTAAAGATCTGATTTCGATTTTTCAATTTGCGTCAATAATCTATGTCGCATGTGAGCGTTTTTGATGACTGTTGAACATGAGTATCTGTATATTTTATAATTATGATAAATTATTCCATTCAAAGAGTGTGCGCTAGTGACGTTGAGATGAGTTTTCACTCGAATCTCTTTATCAGAGTCACACAAATTTCTCTACTCAACAATTATAACTGCTACGCATTTTTACTATACTCTCTGACCACGCGGAGTTTTTCGTCTAAAATTTGCTAGGAGGAGAATTATTACGCCTCTCTACGTCAATCAACACCTCCACTGAATGGCCCTGGACCTTGAAATATTATTCTTTTCTCAGATTATATTGAATCGAATTTTGAAAAATTTTGTATTAATAAATTTGTCATGATTATCCCACGATGATTTAATTCCTTGGGGATGATTTCCAAGATCTATCCAGAGTCTACTTGAGCTTGGAATTACCTCGGTCTCCAGCAAGTCTGCTGCCGGGTGCTCTCTGATGGGCCCCCAAGAGATTGTGCTCAGGACAGTCATGTTCTTCCCCTTCGGGCCCCTCTCCTACGTTTTCTCTTCAACTCGAAATTTCAATATCTCGGAAAATCATCAATCTTCCAGCTAGTTAGCGCAACGGTTTTCCTTATTAAATGCTAAGAAAGGGCAGTTCGACTTCCCTATGAGAATTAGGCCTAGCTCATTCTATTTTGTGAATCAAAATAAAATCAAATAAAAATAATTGACAATCTAATTGTTACAACTATTCAATGATTATTCCAAAATTAATAGTTTTAATCGATTCAATTACAGTTTGAAATATTTGTTGAAATGTTATTTCGACCGAGTTAATTAAATATTGCCGATCGTATGATGAATTCTCGAGTTATAACCGTAAAAATGTGGTCCACGAAATTAAGGCTCACAGGAGTCAGAAAGAAGGCTCAGTGATTACTACACCAAGTTATATTATTGAAAAAAAGGTATTATTCACTTGCTTTATGTTGCGTACCTCAAACAGAAAACTAAAAGCTGTACTCCTGGATGAAAGATCATTGACAATTGAATAAATTCATCACAATCGATTCATTAAAAGGAATTCACACACTGATAGTATGATTCATTTATTCCAAACGGGATTCGTCAACTATTAACGAATGAACATTTGGTGAGACCGAATAGACACTAATTTCCAACCAAAATCCATTCGTTAACAATAACCAATCCGTTTTATCAGTTCACAGAAAACCCCATGGAGAGGCCTACCTCTAATTACAAATAAATACAGTATTAGCAAGATTAAGTGATTACAAAGATAATTGTTATCAAATTATACTATTAGTTGTCCTCAAATTTCTGAAGCAAGACACGTAGTGTAGTGAAGATCGAGTATATTACGGACATGTACAGAAACAAAAAAAGAACATTCACTCAATTGCTTACTTCCACATTTTGTTCCCATTTAAACCAACGTGATCACTATCTTTGCATAATACTCCATGCATAAATTCGACATCAACCCACCGATAGCTATTTTTGGCGGATTTTGACAGCTCTGCATCATAAAAATTGCATCCTTGTTGAATGTCTTTGAATTTCGAATCGAGGAAGAGTTGTACAACGCCCAACGAACTCTCTCGTCCTTAATAATCATGAAAAAGCTCAATGACAAAGTTCAATGCGTAAATCATTTATATCTGAATCATACTTACTGCTGCGGTCAAATTTCCTGCTTTCCATGCAATCAAAGAAGTATCCACGCATATGCAAATTCGATTGAGGCAAACCGAACCTTTTTAGCGACTGGATCATTCTGCCAGAAAGAGAATCGTTAAGCCTGGAATGGTGAAAATCCATACTAGCGAACAGGCGCTCAGCGCCCGTCGCTAGGTTAATTTGTACTATGTTATTTTATTTTATTTTCTTTCTATTTCCGTCTTCAAAACTAGAGTAATTTAATTTTATCCATTCTTATTGTTATTATATATTTTTTTCCTTAATTCACAAGTTACAATGTTAAATGGAAAAGAATTCCCCATAAATCACGTGAGAATACAGATCGACAAACAATTTTCGATAATCATAGCTAAAATTTTTCATTCCTTTCTTTTTCTTTAAATTAATTAGTACCAATGATCTGAAAATGTGAGCGAATATGAACATTTTTCATCTTTCATCTCATTTCAATGGAACCAAAGAAGGAAATTGTAGAGAAACATCGATCGTGATCAATCAGCATCAATAAAATAAAAAAATCTATTTTTCTATATATATATATATATATATTTCTATTTATGATGTATCAAGAAGCTTCAAATCCACAATTGGCACCACAGTTCCGATATTGTAGGAACTTGTAAATTTTCTGAATTCTCTATTGTATTGAATGAATAACTAAAATTTCAATGCATAATCAATTGATGGAAAACAGGAATTAGGGAAGAGTTCGCCTGTACCGCTGAGCGGTCAATACTGCTCCCCCGTTTTTTCCGTCATTATTTTCATGTTCCAGAGTAATTCTATAGTTTGTAAGGCTAATAGAGGGACTTAAGCAACTAAATTTCTTGATAATTGGAGACAATTAATATTCACCGATATTACAGGATAAAACAAATGGCTTGCTTTTTCCATAGAATTAATTGAATCTAGCGAACGGGCGCTATATTCATTTATACCATTTATTTCATTTCATTTTTTCCCCATTTTTTTTCCACAATGGGATTCATTCAATTCTATCCATTCGTATTCTTATTATACACACATATTCTTCCTGAATTAACAAATTACAACATTGAATGAAAAGGAATCATTTTAAATATCAATAAAAAGTGTTTTTTTGTGATCAAAATACAGACACAAAACAAAAGTCATTGCAAATCTCATTCAGGTAATAGAGCAATCTTCCCAGGTATTCCTGAAAATTAAAAAAATCAGTTTTTACCTTCATATGGTAGAAGAATATCGGTATTTCTCATTCCTATGGTCGAATTCCAATGACAATTTCCTCAATTCTGATTTTGACCAATCACAGTGCAGTATTCGGAGTCACGTGACGCGTTTCACACTGATAATTACCCCGGCTGCAGGGCAATTATCAGACTGATAATTTTCCTGTAGTCTGTCAATTGTTTTCTACGAATTTGACAGATATTCCTCACATTTTGGTGAAATTTGTCCCGTAACCCCGAACACTGCACCCTGATCGACCAAGATCAGAATTGAAGAAATTGTCCTCCGAATACCACTCGACCTTCAAAATTCATCGGATATTTCCCTCAAGTTTTCCTGCATATCAACGATCGGGATCAGCTTTGCAGTAAAATCCCTTGTGCTACACGTTTGGGATTTTAATCTGCAAAACTGATCCCTCTCGTTGCTATGCAACAAAACATTCGGGAACATCCGATAATTTTGAAGGCCTTGGGGTATTATAGCTGATTATTATAAAAATGATATGAAAAAAAATGTAAAAGGAATAATCGATTAGACGATGAATTTTTTCTTCTTTTATGTCAGCGGTAATAAGTGTTAAAAGGATGTCAATATTCCAGCGAGATGAAATTTAAAAAATGCAAAAAAAAGTGGGAGGGAAGAACAAAAAAAATAATTTTTTTGTCTCCAGAAAGTTTGCAAATCGGTTTTTTTCGAATCATGAAAAAAAAACAATAAATCTGATTTTTTTATTGTCATTTTCATTGCTTCGATTCAGTTGATTATATTGCGATGATGATCAAGCCTTTAAATGGTTAGATCTCACCATTCTACCCGACCGAGATTTGAACTCGGAACCTTGCGCACGTGAAGTAACGACCTTACCCACTGCGCCAGGCCGTCGGGTTGAATAAATTTGATTCCTTTCCTTGTCTTTTGATAGAATGAATAGAATTCCATAAATGGCAATAAATTTAAAAAAATCACGAATTGCAGACTGAAAATTTTTAAACAGGGATAATCGGCTAGGAAATGGAGAAAATTCGTTTTTCTTCATTTCTGTCGGTGGAAACTTGGAATCTCGTTTTTTTTTCTGTTGTTTAAAGTGCTCAATTATGTTTTTTGAATTATTTACACTATCGTATAATTTTACAATGCTTGATATTTCTCTTTAAGTTTTACAATCATATCTTCAGTTCACATTCTTTTAAATGAT